CGGATGACAAGAAACAGATGATTGCTGATGTTATGAATGAAAAGAAGTTGGATGTCCTGGCCCTAAGCGAAACAAAGCTGAAGGGGGTAGGAGAGTTTCAGTGGGGGGAAATAAATGGGATTAAATCTGGAGTATCTGAGAGAGTTAGAGCAAAGGAAGGGGTAGCAGTAATGTTAAATGATCAGTTATGGAAGGAGAAAAGAGAATATGAATGTGTAAATTCAAGAATTATGTGGATTAAAGTAAGGGTTGGATGCGAGAAGTGGGTCGTAGTAAGCGTGTATGCACCTGGAGAAGAGAGGAATGCAGAGGAGAGAGAGAGATTTTGGGAGATGTTAAGTGAATGTATAGGAGCCTTTGAACCAAGTGAGAGAGTAATTGTGGTAGGGGACTTGAATGCTAAAGTAGGAGAAACTTTTAGAGAGGGTGTGGTAGGTAAGTTTGGGGTGCCAGGTGTAAATGATAATGGGAGCCCTTTGATTGAACTTTGTATAGAAAGGGGTTTAGTTATAGGTAATACATATTTTAAGAAAAAGAGGATAAATAAGTATACACGATATGATGTAGGGCGAAATGACAGTAGTTTGTTGGATTATGTATTGGTAGATAAAAGACTGTTGAGTAGACTTCAGGATGTACATGTTTATAGAGGGGCCACAGATATATCAGATCACTTTCTAGTTGTAGCTACACTGAGAGTAAAAGGTAGATGGGATACAAGGAGAATAGAAGCATCAGGGAAGAGAGAGGTGAAGGTTTATAAACTAAAAGAGGAGGCAGTTAGGGTAAGATATAAACAGCTATTGGAGGATAGATGGGCTAATGAGAGCATAGGCAATGGGTCGAAGAGGTATGGGGTTAGGTTTAAAAATGTAGTGTTAGAGTGTTCAGCAGAAGTTTGTGGTTACAGGAAAGTGGGTGCAGGGGGGAAGAGGAGCGATTGGTGGAATGATGATGTAAAGAGAGTAGTAAGGGAGAAAAAGTTAGCATATGAGAAGTTTTTACAAAGTAGAAGTGATGCAAGGAGGGAAGAGTATATGGAGAAAAAGAGAGAGGTTAAGAGAGTGGTGAAGCAATGTAAAAAGAGAGCAAATGAGAGAGTGGGTGAGATGTTATCAACAAATTTTGTTGAAAATAAGAAAAAGTTTTGGAGTGAGATTAACAAGTTAAGAAAGCCTAGAGAACAAATGGATTTGTCAGTTAAAAATAGGAGAGGAGAGTTATTAAATGGAGAGTTAGAGGTATTGGGAAGATGGAAGGAATATTTGAGGAATTGTTAAATGTTGATGAAGATAGGGAAGCTGTGATTTCGTGTATAGGGCAAGGAGGAATAACATCTTGTAGGAGTGAGGAAGAGCCAGTTGTGAGTGTGGGGGAAGTTCGTGAGGCAGTAGGTAAAATGAAAGGGGTAAGGCAGCCGGGATTGATGGGATAAAGATAGAAATGTTAAAAGCAGGTGGGGATATAGTTTTGGAGTGGTTGGTGCAATTGTTTAATAAATGTATGGAAGAGGGTAAGGTACCTAGGGATTGGCAGAGAGCATGCATAGTTCCTTTGTATAAAGGCAAAGGGGATAAAAGAGAGTGCAAAAATTATAGTGGGATAAGTCTGTTGAGTGTACCTGGTAAAAATGTATGGTAGAGTTATAATTGAAAGAATTAAGAGTAAGACGGAGAATAGGATAGCAGATGAACAAGGAGGCTTTAGGAAAGGTAGGGGTGTGTGGACCAGGTGTTTACAGTGAAACATATAAGTGAACAGTATTTAGATAAGGCTAAAGAGGTCTTTGTGGCATTTATGGATTTGGAAAGGCGTATGACAGGGTGGATAGGGGGGCAATGTGGCAGATGTTGCAAGTGTATGGTGTAGGAGGTAGGTTACTGAAAGCAGTGAAGAGTTTTTACGAGGATAGTGAGGCTCAAGTTAGAGTATGTAGGAAAGAGGGAAATTTTTTCCCAGTAAAAGAAAGGCCTTAGACAAGGATGTGTGATGTCACCGGGGTTGTTTAATATATTTATAGATGGGGTTGTAAGAGAAGTAAATGCGAGGGTCCTTGGCAAGAGGCGTGGAGTTAAAAGAAAAGAATCACACACAAAGTGGGAGTTGTCACAGCTGCTCTTTGCTGATGACACTGTGCTCTTGGGAGTTTTCTGAAGAGAAGTTGCAGAGATTGGTGGATGAATTGGTAGGGTGTGCAAAAAAGAAAAATTAAAGGTGAATACAGGAAAGAGTAAGGTTATGAGGATAACCCAAAAAATTAGGTGATGAAAGATTGAATACAGATTGGAGGGAGGAGTATGGAGGAGGTAAAACGTATTCAGATATTTGGGAGGGGACGTGTCAGCGGATGGGTCATGAAAGATGAGGTGAATCATAGAATTGATGAGGGAAAAAAGAGTGAGTGGTGCACTTAGGAGTCTGTGGAGACAAAGAACTTTGTCCTTGGAGGAAAAGAGGGGAAGTATGAGAGTATAGTTTTACCAACCTCTTATATGGGTGTGAAGCGTGGGTGATAAATTTGTTGCAGCGAGGAGAAGGCTGGGGCAGTGGAGATGTCATGTCTGAGGGCAATGTGTGGTGTGAATATAATGCAGAGAATTCGTATTTGGAAGTTAGGAGGAGGTGCGGGATTACCAAAACTGTTGTCCAGAGGGGTGAGGAAGGGTTGTTGAGGTGGTTCCGGACATGTAGAGAGAATGGAGCGAAACAGAAGACTTCAAGAGTGTATCAGTCTGTAGGGAAGGAGGCGGGGTAGGGGTCGGCCTAGGAAGGGTTGGAGGGGGGGGTAAAGGAGGGTTTTTTGTGCGAGGGGCTTGACTTCCAGCAGGCCCTGCTTGAGCGTGTTTGATAGGATGAATGGAGACAAATGGTTTTTAATACTTGACGTGCTGTTGGAGTGTGAGCAAAGTAACATTTATGAAGGGATTCAGGGAAACCGGCAGCCGGACTTGAGTCCTGGAGATGGGAAGTACAGTGCCTGCACTCTGAAGGAGGGGTGTTAATGTTGCATTTTAAAAACTGTAGTGTAAAGCACCCTTCTGGCAAGACAGTGATGGGGGAAAATGATGGTGAAAGTTTTTCTTTTGGGGCCACCCTCCCTTGGGGGAATCGGCCGGTGTGAAATAAAATAAAATAAAAATTCTAGCGGCTTCAAATCAAGGGGGAAAAGTGTGGGCCCCCACATGTGAGAGAATGGGTCTGTGTGATCATGTGCACCACATAAAAAAAATCCTGCAGCACCTTTTGCGTAATGAAAAAAAAAAAAACCTGATCTTTTTTTTTGGAAAAAAACGGCGACTTTGGGGTGAAATTTTTTCGTATGTATTTATCGTTGTATTCGCGTTTTCTTGGTTTTAGGTGAAAAAAAGGGAAAAACATATTACAGAAATAGAGATGTTTTCATTATTTTTACGATAAAAAAAACGACCTTGAAAACTCTAAAAGTAGCGGAAATGTTCGATTTTACCATTTTCAAGAGACTAAATCACCCCACACGTCCCAATAACGTCAACTGGGGGTTTTAAAATTCTTTCACAGTGCACTGATATTTTTTACCCTTTTTACATTTTGCAGTCTCTGAAACAGTAATTTTGTATTTTTTTTTTATGAATAAAAAACAAAATAGAAACAATAATAAAAAAAGGGGGGCCCAGAGATGTGACTAAAAACAGAGCATATTTATTTAGTGCCAAATGTTACCTTGTTTATTCGGACCCTATTTTTAAATTGGCATCTTTTTTTTTTTTGCTTTAAATTGGGCCAAATTGCCAAATTTTCTGACCACCATAATGGGTAGTCCAAATTAGTAAATGGGAGGTTTCTTGTACTCAGCTGATAGATAAAATGGAGTTCTAAAGAAATAGCTATGAGTTTGGTCAACTGGAACAATGGAATTGGCTGAAAATTGGGCTCAAAGTCGGCGAAATCGCCGATACGCATATGTCGCCGAGACCGCTAACTTCGCGGGAGCATAATTCCACGAGTTTTCGACCAAATTTCGAACTTTTGGTGTCATTACCATCGGGAAAAGATTCTCTATCATTTCATAAGAAAAAATAATTTTTTTTTTTTCAAAAATTGAGCGACATAGAATGACAGTTTCAGAGAGGGGCCTGAAACAGTCAAAGGGTTAATCTTGTCCCCCAGGATGCGACCCACACCAGTCGACTAACACCCAGGTACCTATTTGCTGCTAGGTGAACAGGACAACAGGTGTAAGGAAACGTGTCGAAATGTTTCCACCCGCCGGGAATCGAACCCGGGCCCTCCGTGTGTGAAGCGGGAGCTTTAGCCACCAGGCCACCGGGCCACCCGAGGTAAGAGAAAATAAACAACAAGAACAAGAACTAGTAAGAAAATATTAGAAAACCCAGAGGGGTGTGTATATATATGCTTGTACATGTATGTGTAGTGTGACCTAAGTGTAAGTAGAAGTAGCAAGACATACCTGAAATCTTGCATGTTTATGAGACAGAAAAATGGACACCAGCAATCCTACCATCATGTAAAACAATTACACTCAATTTACACTCACTTGGCAGGACGGTAGTACCTCCCTGGGCGGTTGCTGTCTACCAACCTACTACCTATAATATTTTCAAATATAACAAAAAAAAAAAGTAGATCAAAGTTTTTTTACATGTTTTCAAATGTAAAAAAAAAAAAATATACTTTTTTTACATACTTTCAAATGTTGAAAAAACATATATATATGTTTGGACTGTTTACGGATTAAGGAACCTCCTTTGAGGGGGAAGTTCGCATCCTGAAAAGTTCGCATGGTGGGGCATTCGTAAGCCAAGGTTCCACTGTACTATATATTTGGCACCAGCACCAGCTCCATTGTACGTAGTACCTTCTTTATTCCTGTGACAGTCTTTCTGCTTTTTGTCATTTATTATATATGTAATTATTTATCTTATCCACATTATCTAGGATTGAAAATACGTACAGGCACAAGACTAATATAACAGTTACTAATAATCTTATAATCTTTATAGTTTCAGTATGTTTCCAACCTCTACCAGTTTATTCTGGCTGCCATATATTTTGCTGTGCCCCTAATTGAAGTGATTCGCCTCTACATTGGACACGTAGGAAATCTTGAAGAAAAGGTTAGTACATGCAGAGAACCCACTAAAAATGAGTAATCTTAGTCAGAAAATAATCAAAGATATTGATGTACATAGTATAAAGTCCCAACATTGTTCCTGTCTTACAATACAGTACAGTACAGTACAGTGGACTCTCGGTTATTGGCTGTAATCCATCCCAGAAAGTTGGCCTAAAACCGAAATGGCCGAAAACCGAAATATTTCCCATAAGAATTAATGTAAATACAGTGGACCCTCGGTTTTCGTGTTTAATCCGTTCCAGAGAGATCAGCAAAAATGGAAATCAGCGAAAACTGAAACCATTTTCCCTTAAGAAATAATGTAAATCCAATTAATCCATTCCAGACACCTAGAAGTATTAAGAAAATTTTCTTTTATTTCCTTAAAGATAGATATACATGCACAAAAGAATGAACATTCAATATGACACTTGTCTTTATTGAAGACTGTTGTGGTGGATGGAAGACAGGGAGGAGGGGAGAGGGAAGAGAGGTTATTCTTTGGAAGGGAAATCCCCCTCCATAAGGACTCTAGGTACCAAGTCCTTATCCGGAGTCACTTCCCTTCTTTGTTTTCTAATGCCATTAGGACCAGCTTGAGAGTCACTGGACCCCTGTCGCATAAAATATCTGTCAAGATATGTCTGTTTCTGGCGTCTTAGATTTGCCAAAAATGGGACATGGCATTGTCATTGTAAAAGTCGCTGGCACGGATTGCAACAGCTTTCTCAGGGTGATGTTCCTCCACAAATGCTCGCACTCTAGTCCACATTGCATAAATCTCCTTAATCTTTGAAGAAGGCACCTTCTTCCATCTCTCTTCCTCCTCCTCTGAAGCAATTTCCTGAGCTGTGGTCTGTTGATGTTGCAGATGAAGCTCTTGCAGCTCATCAGTGGTTAGCTCTTGATTATGGTCCTCTGCCAACTCTTCCACATCCTGGCCACTCATATCCAGTCCCATGGAATTCCTCATTGCCACAGTAGATTGCACAACTGGCATAGGGTTGTCAGGGTCAGCCTCAAACCCTTCAAAACCTTTGTTGAGGACACAATCTGGCCACAATTTTTTTCCAAGCAGAGTTCATCGTCCTGGAAGTCACTCCCTGCCAAGCCTTATCTATAAGGCTTATGCAATGGAAGATATTGAAGTGATCCCTCCAGAACTCTCTTAGTGTCAATTCAGAGTCCAAGGTTATGTCAAAGCACCTTGGAAACATTGCTTTGTTGTACAGTTTTTTGAGTTTGCAGTGATCTGCTGGTCCATGGGCTGGATGAAAGGAGTGGTGTTAGGAGGCAAGAACTTCACTGTTACAAAACTGAATTCCTTAGACAGTTGGTCTTCCAAGACTGGAGGATGAGCAGGAGCATTGTCCATTAACAGGAGGCACTGGAGTTGCAATTTATTATCCAGGAGGTATTTCTTCATACTCGGGTCAAGCACTTCATTGAACCATTCCAGGAAAATTTCCCTCATGACCCATGCCCTACTGTTAGCCTTCCACATCACACACAATTTACTCTTGACGACACTGTTTTTCTTCAACATTCTAGGATTTTCAGAGTGCTACACCAGTAAAGGCTTCATTTTGAAATCCCTACTAGCATTACCACACAACAAGAGAGTTAGCCTGTCTTTCATAGGCTTGTGTCCTGGCAGTGCCTTTTCCTCCTGCATGATGTAGGTCCTCTTTGGCATTTTCTTCCAAAACAGGCCTGTTTCATCACAACTGAACATTTATTGGGGTTGGAATTTTTTATCCTGTATATAGTCTTCGAATTCCCGCACAAATTTTTCAGAGACATGTTTGTCTGAACTGGCACCCTCACCATTCCTTACAACACTGTGTATACCACTTTGCTTCTTGAATTTTTCAAACCAGCCTTTGCTGGCCTTAAATTCACCAACATCAGCACTTGTTTCAGGCATTTTCTTTACGAGATTGTCATGCAACTGCCTTGCATGACACTATCTCCTGGTAACTGTTTCTCCTTGATCCACACCAATAACAATTTCTCCACATCTTCAATTGTTTGGGATCTCTGTTTTGTTATTGCATTCACCCCTTTTGCAGCATCAGCTTCCATGATTTCTTTTCTCTTTGCCAAAGTGGAGCTGATAGTTGATGGCCCCTTCCTGTACATCCTGCCGAGTTCAGTAATGCGTATGCCACTATCATATTTTTGAATGATTTCTTTTTTCACTTCTATGGTGTTCCTCACTTTCTTTACCAAAGGACTGGCACTAGGAGCTTTCTTTGGGGCCATGGTGGCTTATTTAGCAGTCACACACAATAAACAAGTGCCAAAAATAATGGATTATTACAAAATGTTTTGTATGATCTCGCAGGATATGTTCACTCACCAAGAAACAACTCGACACTGCCTGAGAATGTGTTTGGGAGGCAGCTTTGTGTGCTCGTTGGGCACTAGACAGGTTCCGTACCATTGACGAAAACGGAGGAAATCGACGAAAACAGAACCAATATTTTAACGAAAAAACTCGGCGAAAATGGAAATCGGAGATAACAGAGATCGATGAAAAGGGAGGGTCCACTGTACAATTAATCCGATCCAAACACCCAAAAATATTAACAAAAAATACATTTTTTAAGATTAATTATAGTTTTACATACACAAAACAATGAGGACTAAATAAAATAAATACAAGAACAATTAAATCACTATTACATACCTTTATTGAAGACTCTTTTTGGCTTATGGAAGACACGGAGGAGGAGAGAGGGAGTTAGGGTTATTGTTTGGAAGAGGAATTCCCCTCCATAAGGACTTCAGGCAACAAGTCCCTCTCTGGGGTTACTTCCCTTCTTTATCTTATAATGCCACTAGGACCACCTTGAGAGTCACTGGACCCCTGTCGCACAAAATAACTATCCAGAGTGCTCTGTTTCTGATGTCTTTAAGATTTCCCTGAAGTGGGACAAGGTTTTGTCTCTGAGCAGGTTGCAGATATGGCTTCTTTCAGCTTGGTCAGGGCGATACTTTTCAACAAAGCTTTGCAACTCATTCCACTCTGCACACATGTCCTTAATCACTGAAGAAGGCACCTTCTCCTTTCGGTCTTCCTCCTCCTCTGAAGCAGTTTCCTTAGCTGTGGTCTGTTGCTGTTCTAGATGAAGGTCTTGCAGATCTTCAGTGGTTAGCTCTTCCCTGTGGTCCTCCACTAACTCTTCCACATCCTGGCCACTCACATCCAACCCCATGTGTCCATGGACTTCCCCGAAGATACAATACATTCCACAGTAGGCATAGGGTTGACAGGGTCAGCCTTAAACCCTTCTTGGAAACATTCTGGGCACAGTTTTCTCCAAGCAGAGTTCAGAGTTCTGGAAGTCACTTCATGCCAAGCCTTACCTGTAAGGCTTATGCAATGGAGGATATTGCAGTGATCCCTCCATAACTAACCTAACTTAGCCTGGCCTAAAATTCACTAACACCAGCACTCGTTCCAGGCATTTTCTTTACAAGATCTGCGTGGAACTGCTTTGCCTTTTCGCAAATGATCGACTCCACAACACTATCTCCCGCTAACTGTTTCTCGTTGATCCACACCAACAACAACTTCTCCATGTCTTTGATTGTTTGTGATCTCTGTTTCGTTAGCATATTTACCCTTTTTGCAAATTTAGCTTCCCTGATTTCTACTTTCTTTGCCAGGATGGAACAGCTTGTTGATTTCAACTTCCCATACATCCTGGCAAGCTCGGCTAAACGTACGCCACTTTCATATTTTTCTACAATCTTTTTCTTGAACTCTATTGTGTTTCTCACCTTCTTTACCATAGGGCTGGCACTAGGAACTTTCTTTGGGGCCATGGCGGCTTATTTTGCAGTTACAATCAATAAACAAGCACAAAAATTGCGAAATGTTTTGAATGAATGCTCACTCAACCAGTGACAGAGCCAGACTGAGACACATATGTGGCGGCGGATCCGACACGTACAGTGGAACCTCAAAAATCAAACTTAATCCGTTCCAGGAGCTAGTTCTAAATTAGAAAAGTCTGAAATTCGAAGCAATATTTCCCATAAGAAATAATGGAAATACAATTAATCCGTTCCAGAAACCCAAAAATATTCACACAAAAAATACATTTTATAGAGATTAATTACAGTTTTACATACAACAAATACTATAGTTTTTAATTATGTATAGTAATACATATAAAATAACATTTTTACTTACCTTAAGATTGGTGATGATATCTGGAAGATAGGGAGGAGGAGAGAGGGAGTTGGGGTTAGTGTTTGGAAGGAGAATCCCCCTCCATGAGAACTTCAGGTAAAGCCCTCTCTGGGGTTACTTCCCTTCTCTGTCTTTTAATGCCACTAGGACTGGGGCCAAACACTTCATGGACCCACTCTTTGAAAATTTGTCTTGTGACCCATGCCTTATGATTAGCTTTCCACAAGACACATAACTTGTTCTTAAAGACATTGTTTTTCTTAAACACTCTGGGATTTTCTGAATGATACACAAGTAAAGGCTTCACTTTAAAATCACCACTAGCATTAGCACAGAACAAAAGAGTAAGCCTGTCTTTCAAAGGCTTGTGTCCTGGCAGTGCCTTTTCCTCCTGTGTGATGAAGGTCCTTTTTGGCATTTTCTTCCAAAACAAGCCTGTTTCGTCACAATTAAACACTTGTTCAGGTTTCAATTCTTCACTGTCTATGTACCCCTTAAACTCCTGTACAAACTTCTCAGCCGCCCGTTTGTCTGAACTGGCTGCCTCACCATGTCTTACAACACTGTGTATGCCACTACACTTCTTAAATCTGTCAAACCAGCCTCTGCTGGCCTTAAATTCACTATCAGCACTGGTTCCAGGAGTTTTCTGTACCAGATCGGCATGCAACTTCCTTGCCTTTTCGCAAATAATCGTCTCTGAAACACTATCACCTGCCATCTCTTTATCCTTGATCCACACCAGCAACAACTTCTCAACCTCTTCAACTATTTGTAGTCTTTTTTTGGTTAGCATATTAACACCTTTCGCAACATCAGCTTCCTTGATTTGTTCTTTCTTTGCCAGGATAGAACCGATGGTCGACTTGTTTTTCCCATATATCCTGGCAAACTCAACAAGTCTCACACCACTCTCATACTTCTGTATTATTTCCTTCTTTACATCTATGGTGTTTCTCACTTTCTTTACCACAGGGGTACCATTAGCAAGCTTCTTTGGGCCCATGGGAGCTTATTTCACAGTCAAATCAAATCAAATCAAACCAAAGTTTATTCTCTATAAGGATTACAATGCGGGGTTTACAGATTTTGGTTATTGTGTGATTTACATGTAATAAAATACTAATTACAGAGGGGGCCAATAGAACACCTAGCAAGGCTTGGCATTTCGGGCAAACTTAGATTAATTCGTAACCCTAAATTATTACAAATTGTGGAGTAAGTTGACTAAATACTAAGTGACTAAATACTAGTTAGTGAGTTTAGGAATGTGAATGCTTTTGTTTTGGCACAATACATAGTTTCTATATTGGAGTATCACAGGCAAACTTGTGACTAGTTAGGAATCATTATTTTAAGATTAAGATAGGTATTTCTGTGCTTATAGTCAAATGGGTGAGTCAGTGAGTGTAAGTGTGAACCACCAGGTGGTTTTTATGTACAGGTCTCCCTCAACATTCACGTTTTCAACTTTCATGGGCTTCACACATTCGCGAATTACCAACCGCCAAATTCCCAGCCTCCAAATTCCCAGCCGCCAAATCATATTTAAGTTTCCTGCCACCTGTGAGTCCCTACTACCCTCCCTCCGACCCCCCCCAACTGGCAGCCAGCCCTCCCACCAGTGTGGTGAATGTTTTGTTTGTTCATTATTTGCTATTAAACTACAGTATAAATAATGTAAACCCATTCATAATTGCATATCGGAATGACTATTCGGACAGGTATTGGACGGTGACATCATGTGTTGACTCTTGAACACAGCAAAGAATCAAACATTTCTGCTACTGCTAATAATAACAATGGTAGTAATAATAATAATAATAATAATATAATAATTATAATAAATACAATAGAATTGAAGAAAGAAATTGTACAAAAATACGAAGGAGTGGTTGACACATCGTCAGTGTGGCTTTGTTTATGCTGGAGTGAGCATTAGTCTCCGTGCTCCATACTTCCCCAAACGTCCCCCAATGATTGCCTGGGAAAAAGATAGCTCGCTGAAGGACAACTTGATGAAGGCAGAATTTCCCAAGAAAAGCAAGACCAGATCTCCACCAGACGACGTTTCAGCACAAGAAACAAGAGAAAACCTAACCTAACCTCTGAAAAATCGCCACAAGAGTGGGACTAGGAGATTGCTTTTCAACCAAGACACATGGGGATAGAGGACTGGATGAAGGACAACACACCACCATGACTGGCTGAGGATCTGGCACACAAATTGAGAAAATACTCCCTAGCCTTGAGAGTCAAAACAATCTGCAGTGAGGAGGAAGAATTCCAGACGTCATTTCAAGAGATGTGGGAATTCTTCAGGCTCAGGGGATACCCTGAACCAGCCCTAACAGCAGCAGAGGAGAAACTGAGGCTCAAGGATAGGAAGGAGCTGTTGGAACCACAACAGAGGACTGAGAACGACAGAACAATCCTGACAGCACTATTTGATGAATCCTGGGCTCAAGAACTGAGGGACGAACTGAACCAACTTTGGACATGGATTGGAGAAGAATTCGAACAAGCTTCTTGGGCAGAATACTTCCCCAAACGTCCCCCAATGATTGCCTGGGAAAAAGATAGCTCGCTGAAGGACAACTTGATGAAGGCAGAATTTCCCAAGAAAAGCAAGACCAGGTCTCCACCAGACGACGTTTCAGCACAAGAAACGAGAAAACTTCAAAAAGGCTGCCAGTAGTTGGCGCCACCATCAGCAAGACATTGGTAACCAATACTAGTACACTTTTCACCTGTCTAGACTTAGTAGTCTATAAATACAGTGGACCCCTGACTTACGATATTAATTCGTTCCAGAAGACTGTTCGGGTGCCTTTACCGAACGAATTTGCTCCCATAAGGAATATTGTAAATTAGATTAGTCCATTTCAGACCCCCAAAAATACACTTACAGAAGCACTTACAAAAATACACTTACATAATTGTTCGAGTTGGGAGCTGTTCGTAAGTCGGGAGTCCACTGTACAGTGGACCCCCGCATAGCGACCTTAATCCGTGCAAGAGGGCTGGCTGTTATGCGAAATGTTCCCTATGCGAATTAATTTTCCCCATAAGAAATAATGGAAATCAAATTAATCCGTGCAAGACACCCAAAAGTATGAAAAAAAAATTTTTACCACATGAAATATACATTTTCCTACACACAAAGAGAAGGATACATGCACAATAATAGAGTAGTACATGCTCAATATATATTGTGCATGTACTACTCTACTAAATGAAGAATAAATGACACTTACCTTTATTGAAGATGCAGCAATGACTGATGAGACACTGTGTCCTGGGAGTGCCTTTTCCTCCTGAGTACTGTAGGTCCTGTTTGGTATTTTCTTCCAGAACAGGCCTTATCACACTGTGTATGCCACTACGATTCTTAAATCTCTCAAACCAACCTTTGCTGGCTCTAAATTCACCAATATGAGCACTAGTTCCAGGCATTTTCCCTGTTCACCTGGGTGTTAGTCAACTGGTGTGGGTTGCATCCTGGGAGACAAGATTAAGGACTCCAATGGAAATAAGTTAGACAGTCTTCGATGACACTGACTTTCTTGGGTTATCCTGGGTAGCTAACCCTCTGGGGTTAATTGTTTCTTGGTATTCTCAATAAGCCACACCAACAACGGTGGTACAGCAGCAGCAGCAGCTGACGGGGGTACAGCAGCAACAGACGATGCTACAGCAGCAACAGACGATGCTACAGCAGCAGCAGACGATGCTACAGCAGCAACTGACGATGTTAACAGCAGCAGCAGACGATGCTACAGCAGCAGCAGCAGCAGACGATGCTACAGCAGCAGCAGACGATGCTACAGCAGCAGCAGCGATGCTACAGCAGCAGCAGACGGTACTACAGCAGCAGCAGCAGCTGACGGTGGTACAGCAGCAGCAGCTGACAGTGCAGCAGCAGCTGACGGTGTACAGCAGCAGCAGCAGCTGTACCACCAATAGTAGCAATGGTTGATTGGGGTTTATTATACAACCTGGCACTCGAGACACACTCCACTTTCATCTTATCAATGATCTTTTTCTTCATCTCCATAGTAATCCACCCTTATTGCTGTAGGTTTGCACTAGAAGCTTTCTTGGGGCCCAGGTCACTTATTTCAGAAAAAAATCACCAAAAACACTGTAAAGATACAAAATGTTCCGATTGTATGCTTGGATGTTACGCGGAGCGTGCTGGAAACAATGCCACCGCGACATGTGAGCGCGTGCTCAGCCGCACATGGACGCGTCTCGACAAAGCCGCTGCAGCGGTGTTATGTCCACTATGCGGGCAAAGTTTTAGCGAACAAAAGCGTCCGCTATGCGGATTGTCGCTAATGCAAGGCTGCCGTATGCGGGGGTCCACTTATATTAGGTTTAAGTCTCCCCGAAATGCCTCACTTTGATAGTGGCTTTCTTTGCTCCAATCATATTAGATAATAAACACACATTGAACCTTGGGGAAGTTACGTATCCTGAAATTTTGTCGTATCCAGAAGGAAAAAATCGGCCAAACCCGGTTCACATCCTGCAAAAGTCGCATGTGGGGGCATTCTTAAGCCTAGGTTTCCACTGTATTATGTACCTTGGTGAGCACAAGCCGCCGCACAGTCCACCAGCCAGGCCGTTGTAATACAGAGGTACATACAGATAAAGCTACCAAAGCCACTTATACTCTGCTCATACGGTCTTAAAATTAACTAAAAACAATGAATGAAGTCAGTAAAATTATGTAAACAGTATTTCCAAGTGGATAAAAGGCACGGTCATATAATCCTAGAAAATTGTGAGGACATTTAAGCATAGGGTTACCAGTATTTATGTATGGGATAAGTACTTGAGAGCAGACTGAATTTACAAATCAGGCAGCCAGTCCCCAGCATAGTTGAGTGAACACAAACCCACACTCCATTCCCTACCAAAACATTGCTGGGACCTATAAATACTGTGTATATATTTCTAGACAATAGTAATGTGACTAAAATAGGTGAAAGTTAATGTGACTAAAATAGGTGCAGTTATTGTGTATCATACAAGGAGTGTATATATCCAAAATATGGCTTATATTTTTCTCACAGGCCATAAAAGTTACTTGAAAAAATAAAATGCTAAAAAATAAAAGAAAAAAGTAGAAAAAACTATTACCGCATGACCGGCACTCGGCGATGTTGCCGTAAGTGGCTCACTTTCTGTCAACTTCATGCCTCCACATCTCAGTAAGTATTGATCACAAAAAAAAAAAATTTGGCCTATAACACTCGCAAAAATATGCTTATCATTTCATAAGAATTTTTTTTTTTTTTTTTCGAATATTTTTCGACCCTGAGTGGGAGTTAAGGATCGAGGTTCTTGACCCTAAAAGGGTTAATGCTACCCTATACCACATGAAACTGAATGAAATCCTGCATCTGAAGCTACTAACTGTGAAAGATTATTACAATAGAGTTACATGTTATACCCATTTGAAATATGGGAGTGTTTTTGTGGACACACTGTTTAATAATGCTGACCCAGGACATTGGACCTGATATCCTCTTTCTTGGATTGAATCTAATTGCCTCTTTTGTCCCTTAGGCTGCATGGTCCCTTAAAATTTAGTTTTTCACGATAAATGTGATAATAATTCCTTGGCACTCTTAGTTATAGAAGCAATATTTGTCTGAGTTGAGGGTGTTTGTTTTCTGTGAACCTGCACATAGTATAAAATCTGAAAAAAAAAAAAAAGATAAATATTTTTTTCTACTTGTTGCAGGTCCCAGAATTGGCAGGAAGTTGGTTATTAAGTCTTCTTTTGCAATTGCCACTGCTACTTTTTTTAATCTTGGTTCCAGGCACCTGGTCATTGCCCATGGATTATGCTGTCAATTCAATTTTTCTTATTTTTGTAATTTTACATCTAATTTTTGGTTACCAAGCAATTAATATTACTGCAGCACATCAAACACGATTATATCACATGTACTTGGTAATGAGACAGACTCAAGAATGAATTACCTTGTAAGACTAAGTTTAGAAACACTGCATCTTGCACAGAGTATTACAGCACTTATACTAACCTACCTGAGCTGAGTTGTTAACTACATATTGTATGACTATTAATGTTATGCACAGAATTATAAAGTGCCTTCTGTCAAGCTGCCTTTCCTGTCTATGAAAACAGTGAAACAATTGTATGAAGAGTATATAACACAGTCAGCCCCCCAAATTCAGGTAATTCTATTATCCAACTATTTTACTTGAGGGCAATCTGTGAATGAATTTGTTTTCTTCCAAGTTTTTCAATTGGGGGGGGGGGACGAATGGGGATGCCTAAGTTGTAAACTAACCAAATAATTTCATTCAAAAAGTGTTCAATGACTTTACCATACTTATATCTTTTTCTTGGCATTCTTTTTTCTTAGTATTAACATTAATCATATTAGTGATATTTGAAAAGATACGGCCTCTGAAACAAAATACAGTATGCCCAAATCCAAAACAAATTTTACTATGCACACATAATTTTGTATTACTTCCTGATTTTAGATTTGTAGGATGACTAGAAACATGACCTGTGCAGATTTTGGTGGCTGCTTTGTACCTGTGTTCAACTGATTACTTTAACCCTTAAACTGTCCAAACATAGATCTATGTTTGCTCGCATAGCACTCCGAACGTAGATCTACATTTTTTTTACATTCTTTCTTATGGAGAAAATCAAGGGCGGAGCACTACGCACGCAAACGTAGATCTACGTTTGGACAGTTAGAGGGTTAAATATACATGTATATTGATATTTTGTGATATAAAATTGTATTATCTAGTCAAACCTTATTATCCCTGTTCATTCAGTATCTCATTGATTGTATATATATTTCATGAAGAATTTAAATATTATTTTCACACCAGTGTTATATTTAATGTTGAAACACAATATGCTGCAAATTGGTAATCTCAATGCCACTTTTAATTTGAAAGTGCACTGATTTTAACTAATGCATATTTGCAACACTTGGGGTATGTAAATCTGACACATTATGCCTGCAAAACAGCTTTTATCATTCTAGTACAAACTTATGAGAATGGAAACTTGGTAAAGCCTGCTGTGCAGGCAATATCTCTCTCAGTAAAGATATCCAGGTATTGCACATGTCTCTCATCAGATTTTTCAGTATCATATACTATTTAACCCCTTAACTGCCCAAATGTAGGTCTCCGTTCTTACCACTAGCACTCCAAATGTACATCAGCGTTTTATTTTTCCTGCCTCCATATATGGCACGATTGGCCTGAGATGCCTGATCAGTATAGAATGGGTCTTAACACTTGGTGTGTGTGGTATTAAAAAAAACTTGGGACCACTTAGTAACTTGTGGAAGCACCAGTTTAGTTGAGTGCCAGCTGCAGCAAGCAGCATGGCAAACACCAGGGATTCACTTTTTTTTTTTCTTGGCCGTCTCCCACCGAGGCAGGGTGACCCAAAGAGAAAATACTTTCATCATTCAACACTTTCACCTCACTCATACATAATCACTGTTTTTGCAGAGGTGCCCAGAATACAACAGTTTAGAAGCATGTACGTATAAAGATATACAACATATCCCTCCAAACTGCCAATATCCCAACCCCTCCTTTAAAGTGCAGGCATTGTACTTCCCATTTCCAGTACTCAAGTCCGGCTATATAGAAATATCTGGTTTCCCTGAATCCCTTCACTAAATATTACCCTGCTCACACTGCAACAGCTCGTCAGGTCCCAAATACCATTCGTCTCCATTCACTTCTACCTAACACGCTCACACATGCTTGCTGAAAGTCCAAGCCCCTCGCCCACAAAACCTCCTTTACCCCCTTCCCTCCAACCTTTTTGAGGACGACCCCTACCCTTCCTTCCCCTACATATTTATATGCTCTCCATGCCATTCTACTTTGATCCATTCTGTCTAAATGACCAGACCACCTCAACAACCCCTCTGACTAATACTTTTATAAACTCCACACCTTCTCGCAATTTCCACACTCTGAATTTTCTGCATAATATTTACACCACACATTGCCCTTAGACAGGACATCTCCACCGCCTCCAACAGCCTCTTCGCTGCAGCATTTACAACCCAATCTTCACACTCATATAAGAGTGTTGGTACCACTATACTTTCATACATTCCACTCTTTGCCTCCATAGATAATGCTTTTTGTCTCCACATATACCTCAATACACCACTCTTTTTTTTTCCTTCATCAATTCCATGGTTAACCTCATCCTTCACATCGATCTGCTGATACGTCAACTCCCAAATATCTGAAAACATTCACTTCTTCCATACTCCTCCTCTCCAATTTGTTATCCAATTTTTCTTTATTTAAATCATTTGATACTCTCATCACCTTACTCTTTTTTATGTTCACTTTTAACTTTCTACCTTTACACTCTCCCAAACTCGTCCACTAACCTTTGCAACTTTTCTTTAAAATCTCCCATAAGCACAGTATCATCAACAAAAAAGTAACTGTGTCAATTCCCATTTTGTATTGATTCCCCATAATTTAATCCCACCCCTCTCCCCAACACTCTAGCATTTACTTTTTACAACCCCCATCCATAAATATATTAACCACGGTGACATTACACATCTCTAAGACCTACTTTTACCGGGAAGTAGTCTCCCTCTCTTCTACACCTCCTAACCTGAGCCTCACTATCCTCATAAAAACTATTTACAGCATTTAGTAACTTACTACCTATTCCATATATACTTGCAACATCTGCCACATTGCTCCCCTATCCACTCTATCATATGCCTTTTCTAAATCCATAAATGCAATGAAAACTTCCCTACCTTTATCTAAATACTGTTCACATATATGCTTCAATGTAACCACTTGATCTACACATCCCCTACCCACTCTAAAACCTCCTTGCTCATCTGCGATCCTACATTGTCTTACCTCTAATTCTTTCAATAATAACCCTACCATACACTTTTCCTGGTATACTCAGCAAACTTATTCCTCTATAATTTTTAGTCTATTTTCTCCCCCCTCCCCTTTATATAAAGGAATTATACATGCTCTCTGCCAATCCTTAGGTACCTTCCCCTCTTTCATACTTTTTTTTTTTTTTTTTTAACAAGTCGGCCATCTCCCACCAAGGCAGGGTGACCCAAAAAGAAAGAAAATCCCCAAAAAGAAAATACTTTCATCATCATTCAACATTTTCACCTCACTCACACATAAACTGTTTTTGCAGTGGTGCTCAGAATAAAACAGTTTAGAAGCATAAACATATAAAGATATACAACATATCCCTCCAAACTGCCAATATCCCAACCCCTCCTTTAAAGTGCAGGCATTGTACTTCCCATTTCCAGGACTCAAGTCCAGCTATAAAAATAACCGGTTTCCCTGAATCCCTTCACTAAATATTACCCTGCTCACACTCCAACAGCTCGTCAGATCCCAATACCATTTGTCTCCATTCACTACTATCTAACACGCTCATGCACGCTTGCTGGAAGTCGAAGCTCCTCGCCCACAAAACCTCCTTTACCCCCTCCCTCCAACCTTTTCGAGGACGACCCTTAGCCCGCCTTCCTTTCCCTACATATTTATACACTTTCCATGTCATTCTACTTTGATCCATTCTCTCTAAATGACCAAACCACCTCAACAACCCCTCTTCAGCCCTCTGGCTAATACTTTCATTAACTTCACACCTTCTCCTAATTTCCACACTCCGAATTTTCTGCATAATATTTACACCACACATTGCCCTTAGACAGGACATCTCCACTGCTTCCAACTGCCTCCTCGTTGCAGCATTTACAATCCAAGCTTCACACCCATATAAGTGTGTTGGTACTACTATACTTTCATACATTCCCTTCTTTGCCTCCATAGGTAACGTTCTTTGTCTCCACATATACCTCAATGCACCACTCGCCTTTTTTCCTTCATCAATTCTATGATTAACCTCATCCTTCATAAATCCATCCGCAGACACCCAAATATCTGAAAACATTCACTTCTTCCGTCCTCCTCCTCCCCAATTTGATATCCAATTTTTCTTCATCTAAATCATTTGATACCCTCATCACCTTATTCTTTTCTATGTTCACTTTCAACTTTCTACCTTTACACACTCCAACTCGTCCACTAACCTTTGCAGTTTTTCTTTAGAATCTCCCATAAGCACAGTGTCATCAGCAAAAAGTAACTGTGTCAATTCCCATTTTGTATTTGATTCCCCATAATTTAATCTCACCCCTCTCCTGCACACCCTAGCATTTCTTTTACAACCCCATCTATAAATGTATTAAACAACCATGGTGACATTACACATCCCTGTCTAAGACCTACTTTTACCAGGAAGTAGTCTCCCTCTCTTCTACACATCCTAACCCAACCACTCCAACACTGTATCCCCCCCTGCTCTTAACATTTCTGTCATGATCCCGTCAGTTCCAGCTGCTTTACCCCCTTTCATTCTATGCAATGCCTCATGCACCTCCTCCACACTCGCATCCTGCTCTTCTTCACTCCTAAAAGATGGTATACCTCCCTGGCCAGTGCATGAAATTACCGCCTCCCTTTCTTCGTCGACATTTAAAAGTTCCTCAAAATATTCCCGCCATCTACCCAATACCTCCATCTCCCCATCTACTAACTCCCCTACTCTGTTTTTTAACTGACAAATCCATTCATTCCCTAGGCTTTCTTAACTTGTTTATCTCACTCCAAAAATTTTTCTTATCTGCTCTCCTTTTACACTCTCTTCACCTTTCTTTTACTCTCCATATACTCTGCTCTTCGTATAACACTTCTGGTTTGTAAAAACTTCTCATAAGCTACCTTTTTCTCTTTTATCACACCCTTTACTTCATCATTCCACCAGTCAGTCCTCTTTCCTCCTGCACCCACCTTCCTATAGCCACAAACTTCTACCCCACATTCTAATACTGCATTTTTAAAACTATTGCAACCCTCTTCAAATCCCCCCCCCCACTACTCATACTTTCTGCCAATAGTTGTTTATATCTCACCCTAACTTCTTCCTCCCTTAGTTTATGCACTTTCACCTCTCTCTTACTTGTTGTTGCCATTTTCCTTTTGTCCCATCTACCTCTTACTCTAACTGTAGCTACAACTAAATAATGATCCGACATATCAGTTGCCCCTCTATAAACATGTACAGTAGGGCCCCGCTTTACGGCATTTCGCCTTACAGCATTCCGCTAATATGGTGATGTCAAATTATGACCCAACTTTGCTATACGGCAAGCGGTCTTTCAAATACGGCGCCCCCCACCCAGTTTGTTTACATTCTCTGTGACCACATCTATTATGTCTGGAAACTTTCCAAATTTCAAGTGTTTTATAGTTATTGCATATTTTATATGTACTCTGATAATTATACTTACGTGTACCTGTACCTAAATATACTTGCACACTGTGCAGGTACACATTAAAATCGCTAAGAGTCTCTCTACTCATGACGCCAATACTACGTAATAATAACCACTCTTGGGCACATGAAATGTCTTATTTTACATTAATATAGACATTTTCATTAATCCATCTATGATATTTTCCTCAAAATTATATAAGAAACATTACATAGCATATAAACATGATATATACACTCACAGAATAAAAATTGACGTAAATATGAGATTTGTTTGCAAAGCGGCTGTGTAGGTAGTATCGGAAGAATTATGTTTTCTCTAGTCAAACACTGGGGGGGATACCTGTATAAAAATATTCCTTTCATATACCTTCACTCTATATATATAGCAATTCATGACCCTTGTGGGTTTAGTGCTT